TCACGCAGAGCTGGAAAATGATCGCAGCCCCCATGAATCCTCGACCAGCCACAACTCAAACAAAACAGCAGTCTCTCAAGAGACGCCCTGTTGTCCATTCACGTCCATTTCAGAAACGTGCCCGGTAGTGGATTCAAACCTCACTATCCCTGAAGTAGCATGTCCGAACAGTGACGCTTCCAGCTCTCATCAACATGATGCCATGTCAAATGCCCATGAAATGGTCGTACTAACCGCCCAAAAAGTACCAGACATAATATCGAGCAGTACACGGAGCGAATCGCATTCTGCAATAGAAATTTTTACCGAATCTAATGATAAAGATTCCCAAGCTTGTCCAGAAAATTTGTTACATGTATCAAATCTGGAACCTAGCGCAGTTTTGGTGGACGCTGTTTATCGTAGTGATCCACAACCTGCCAGTGATGTTTACAATAAGTCTAATGACTACATTTCTGCAGAATCAAATTCTGACCTCACATCAAATGTCGATCCTCACCATCCAGTCAATCTTAGCAGGTTCCCTATTGAATGCCAGAAACATGTTATAAATAGAATCGCATTAATAGAAACTTGGGTATACGAGGATCCAACACTATTTCGTGGGGGAGGAGGAGCTCGGATTTCTCAAAAAGGGGAGGTGTTATATCCCCTGGTGAATTATGAATGGTAACTCTAAGGACTATTTATCGACCAATGTATTATGCCTATTTCCTATTGTACAATTGATACGTAACTAAACTATTCATATTTGTGTTTCTCTTATCATGAGCTTTATTTTGATCTTTGATTTATTATCATACGATTCTTGAGTTATACTCAGTTATTGATTACTTTGGTTTGTATAAAAACCCAGTATGTTTGTAAATAATGATTTATACCACTGAGGCTGTTATTGGTGTTTTGGACTTAACTGGCTGGGCTAAGCAGATCGCAGGACCGGTCAGCACTCTAGTCTGCTCGTACGGGTTTCGTGTCACTGTTTCAATCGAGAATTCGCCCTCCCTAATTGGCGGTCTCATCAAGTCACACATTAATTAGGCATCCACTCGGCTACAAGCATAACAATTGGCGACGGGGACAAAAAAAGGTCAGTTTGTAATTGTTCGAAAATCAGGCAATCAGCATCCAACATTCTCTTTGGTGTCCGTGAATGCCATTTTGTCATTATTCATACAGTGAAAAATGACGCTCCCTTCCGACCGATTACAGTTGCTATTTGACCGACATTTGGAGTTCATGGTCAAACTACGCACACAGCTTCTGGATCACCAATGCTTTGCATATGCGTCGGAAGTAGATGGATTAATCACAGAATTTCACGCAGAGCTGGAAAATGATCGCAGCCCCCATGAATCCTCGACCAGCCACAACTCAAACAAAACAGCAGTCTCTCAAGAGACGCCCTGTTGTCCATTCACGTCCATTTCAGAAACGTGCCCGGTAGTGGATTCAAACCTCACTATCCCTGAAGTAGCATGTCCGAACAGTGACGCTTCCAGCTCTCATCAACATGATGCCATGTCAAATGCCCATGAAATGGTCGTACTAACCGCCCAAAAAGTACCAGACATAATATCGAGCAGTACACGGAGCGAATCGCATTCTGCAATAGAAATTTTTACCGAATCTAATGATAAAGATTCCCAAGCTTGTCCAGAAAATTTGTTACATGTATCAAATCTGGAACCTAGCGCAGTTTTGGTGGACGCTGTTTATCGTAGTGATCCACAACCTGCCAGTGATGTTTACAATAAGTCTAATGACTACATTTCTGCAGAATCAAATTCTGACCTCACATCAAATGTCGATCCTCACCATCCAGTCAATCTTAGCAGGTTCCCTATTGAATGCCAGAAACATGTTATAAATAGAATCGCATTAATAGAAACTTGGGTATACGAGGATCCAACACTATTTCGTGGGGGAGGAGGAGCTCGGATTTCTCAAAAAGGGGAGGTGTTATATCCCCTGGTGAATTATGAATGGTAACTCTAAGGACTATTTATCGACCAATGTATTATGCCTATTTCCTATTGTACAATTGATACGTAACTAAACTATTCATATTTGTGTTTCTCTTATCATGAGCTTTATTTTGATCTTTGATTTATTATCATACGATTCTTGAGTTATACTCAGTTATTGATTACTTTGGTTTGTATAAAAACCCAGTATGTTTGTAAATAATGATTCATACCACTGAGGCTGTTATTGGTGTTTTGGACTTAACTGGCTGGGCTAAGCAGATCGCAGGACCGGTCAGCACTCTAGTCTGCTCGTACGGGTTTCGTGTCACTGTTTCAATCGAGAATTCGCTCTCTCTAATTGGCGGTCTCATCAAGTCACACATTAATTAGGCATCCACTCGGCTACAAGCATAACAATTGGCGACGGGGACAAAAAAAGGTCAGTTTGTAATTGTTCGAAAATCAGGCAATCAGCATCCAACATTCTCTTTGGTGTCCGTGAATGCCATTTTGTCATTATTCATACAGTGAAAAATGACGCTCCCTTCCGACCGATTACAGTTGCTATTTGACCGACATTTGGAGTTCATGGTCAAACTACGCACACAGCTTCTGGATCACCAATGCTTTGCATATGCGTCGGAAGTAGATGGATTAATCACAGAATTTCACGCAGAGCTGGAAAATGATCGCAGCCCCCATGAATCCTCGACCAGCCACAACTCAAACAAAACAGCAGTCTCTCAAGAGACGCCCTGTTGTCCATTCACGTCCATTTCAGAAACGTGCCCGGTAGTGGATTCAAACCTCACTATCCCTGAAGTAGCATGTCCGAACAGTGACGCTTCCAGCTCTCATCAACATGATGCCATGTCAAATGCCCATGAAATGGTCGTACTAACCGCCCAAAAAGTACCAGACATAATATCGAGCAGTACACGGAGCGAATCGCATTCTGCAATAGAAATTTTTACCGAATCTAATGATAAAGATTCCCAAGCTTGTCCAGAAAATTTGTTACATGTATCAAATCTGGAACCTAGCGCAGTTTTGGTGGACGCTGTTTATCGTAGTGATCCACAACCTGCCAGTGATGTTTACAATAAGTCTAATGACTACATTTCTGCAGAATCAAATTCTGACCTCACATCAAATGTCGATCCTCACCATCCAGTCAATCTTAGCAGGTTCCCTATTGAATGCCAGAAACATGTTATAAATAGAATCGCATTAATAGAAACTTGGGTATACGAGGATCCAACACTATTTCGTGGGGGAGGAGGAGCTCGGATTTCTCAAAAAGGGGAGGTGTTATATCCCCTGGTGAATTATGAATGGTAACTCTAAGGACTATTTATCGACCAATGTATTATGCCTATTTCCTATTGTACAATTGATACGTAACTAAACTATTCATATTTGTGTTTCTCTTATCATGAGCTTTATTTTGATCTTTGATTTATTATCATACGATTCTTGAGTTATACTCAGTTATTGATTACTTTGGTTTGTATAAAAACCCAGTATGTTTGTAAATAATGATTCATACCACTGAGGCTGTTATTGGTGTTTTGGACTTAACTGGCTGGGCTAAGCAGATCGCAGGACCGGTCAGCACTCTAGTCTGCTCGTACGGGTTTCGTGTCACTGTTTCAATCGAGAATTCGCCCTCCCTAATTGGCGGTCTCATCAAGTCACACATTAATTAGGCATCCACTCGGCTACAAGCATAACAATTGGCGACGGGGACAAAAAAAGGTCAGTTTGTAATTGTTCGAAAATCAGGCAATCAGCAACCAACATGCTCTTTGGTGTCCGTGAATGCCATTTTGTCATTATTCATACAGTGAAAAATGACGCTCCCTTCCGACCGATTACAGTTGCTATTTGACCGACATTTGGAGTTCATGGTCAAACTACGCACACAGCTTCTGGATCACCAATGCTTTGCATATGCGTCGGAAGTAGATGGATTAATCACAGAATTTCACGCAGAGCTGGAAAATGATCGCAGCCCCCATGAATCCTCGACCAGCCACAACTCAAACAAAACAGCAGTCTCTCAAGAGACGCCCTGTTGTCCATTCACGTCCATTTCAGAAACGTGCCCGGTAGTGGATTCAAACCTCACTATCCCTGAAGTAGCATGTCCGAACAGTGACGCTTCCAGCTCTCATCAACATGATGCCATGTCAAATGCCCATGAAATGGTCGTACTAACCGCCCAAAAAGTACCAGACATAATATCGAGCAGTACACGGAGCGAATCGCATTCTGCAATAGAAATTTTTACCGAATCTAATGATAAAGATTCCCAAGCTTGTCCAGAAAATTTATTACATGTATCAAATCTGGAACCTAGCGCAGTTTTGGTGGACGCTGTTTATCGTAGTGATCCACAACCTGCCAGTGATGTTTACAATAAGTCTAATGACTACATTTCTGCAGAATCAAATTCTGACCTCACATCAAATGTCGATCCTCACCATCCAGTCAATCTTAGCAGGTTCCCTATTGAATGCCAGAAACATGTTATAAATAGAATCGCATTAATAGAAACTTGGGTATACGAGGATCCAACACTATTTCGTGGGGGAGGAGGAGCTCGGATTTCTCAAAAAGGGGAGGTGTTATATCCCCTGGTGAATTATGAATGGTAACTCTAAGGACTATTTATCGACCAATGTATTATGCCTATTTCCTATTGTACAATTGATACGTAACTAAACTATTCATATTTGTGTTTCTCTTATCATGAGCTTTATTTTGATCTTTGATTTATTATCATACGATTCTTGAGTTATACTCAGTTATTGATTACTTTGGTTTGTATAAAAACCCAGTATGTTTGTAAATAATGATTTATACCACTGAGGCTGTTATTGGTGTTTTGGACTTAACTGGCTGGGCTAAGCAGATCGCAGGACCGGTCAGCACTCTAGTCTGCTCGTACGGGTTTCGTGTCACTGTTTTAATCGAGAATTCGCTCTCCCTAATTGGCGGTCTCATCAAGTCACACATTAATTAGGCATCCACTCGGCTACAAGCATAACATATACAAACAACCTTAATGCATAGAAAATGCTGCAGGCGGAAGGCATATGTGGGAAAAGATCAGACTGTTTGGAAATTAGTTAGTTTATGTCAATATTTTTGCAACTCTAATGAATATGAGTAATTGAAGTGCGTTAGAAAAATATCTTTCTATATGTTTAGCTAGATTAAAAGTTAAACTGGTTGTAAGTAATAATAACTTCTACTTGTACGTAACCACATCATAATAGAAAATAAACATCAATTAGAATAAGTTTTGCCAAAAGAAATTGTGTATATTTTAAACAGATATATACATGGGTTTGTATGATTTAAATGGTAGAAGTTTGTGTGGATTATAACTGTTGAATGTAAACGAACCGAAAGGTATTTACAAACATATATACAGTTTGCAGGTGTTAGAATGGGAAGTCTGAATCAACGGATAACTTTAGTTAACGATAATTTATATTTTTACTCAAAATAATTTTGAGCTTATTGAGCTATAACGGTTTTTGCACAAAACATTCAACAGATTTCAGACTATTTATCAGTGTTAAGCAAGCAGACAACCAATTGTGCTCAGATGTAAAACACTTCATCTGATAAATAAGTTAAATTGGAGGAAACTAGGATTCCGGAATTTTACACAGGATCAAGATTTATTTCTTAAGACAAAATAGAGATTACCAGAGCATAGTGAAATCCGTCGCATTCCAAACATCGCTCCAATATTGGTACCAATCATCTGAATATTAAATGAAATGTCTATGTTGATAACTTAAAGTTATACCATTTTCTGCCTATTGTCTAATAAGTTATTCATACCAGGTTGCTGCTGTGATTTATCAAATTTGATATTACTCAACATTGCTATAGTTGAAACTTAGCTGTTATACGGACAAACTTGTACCCACAATGTGACTCAAAAACAAGCAGGTAAGTTTGACGTACAATTCGCTAATTTTGTTTGGAAGCACAACTCATTACATTTGTCACATGCTGAACACTACAAGGTCCGACATAACTGTCTCCAAAATCATCTAAGTGAAGTTATACTAATGAAAGTAATACAAACAGAGTTGGTACTTATTTTTAGGTTTGCCAGTTTAATTTGAATATTAGTAGTGTAACTGCGATCTGGAGGTATTTGTGAAGGCTAGATTTTAATTTACACGAAATATCACGTTTAGAAAACGCAAGATTATTAACAGATGAAACCATGAAAAATGGTGTGTTTATATCGTGATCTTCGTTTGATATGAAACCCACTAGGGAAGGATTACAGTAGCTAACTGACTGCCATTCTAGATTTCGGGACACTAGGCTTCCCAAACGATTTGTGAAGCTAGAAATTACAATCAACTACTATCTTATTTATCAAGCCGGAACACAAAGAATATACAAAACAAGATGATCGGAACAAATTAGGTTCTGGCCATTTTCACTATGTATCGTATTACCCCAGAAGTTGTTAATTTAAAGACGGTTGTCTGAAACACGCCTAGATTCTCGACATAAGTTAACCAGTCAAAGATGTTACCTCCAGGTGCGTAAGAAGCTTTGCAAGCTAACAAAACGATGCCAGATTGACATAGACTCGTTTCAAGTATGCTGTGTAATCTTTCATAAAGGTCTGTGCGGTAAATTGTTTCACTAGTAAAGATATAGTCAAACTTCACGTTGGCGCTTGACTGCCAAAGTTTCGAAAGATGAAGCCAGTCCCCACTGAAGAATTCGAGCTGTGTGTGTTCATTGTGGCTATCAGCATCGTTTTGAGAACCTGAATTAATGATGACATTAGGGATGGTCCAGCATTTTAAAACTTCGGAATTGTAATCCTTAAAAAAGAAAATAGTAAAAGTACTTATGATAAGATATGGTAAAGTGTGGCGAACTCTTCATAAATATATTCAACACAGGCAGACTTGCTACAGGACTTCACCATTCGTTTTGACCTTTAAGATGCCAGTGAGCTTTTATGTTAAGTAATGAAACATAATTTATCTAGACACTTTCGGAAATAAACTTAAAAATTACTATGATAAAATGCTTTCATTCAATATCTAAATCGTACCCCGAGGACGTTATGCAACTCGACGAAATATTTCTTGTCAAGATAAGGCTATAATATTACGCTAACGGAACGCTAATTTAAAACCACCCGCTTACCTGGAACCTGACTAAGCGGGCACCAGCCTTGACAGCGAATATACCTGGTAGTCCACAACCACAACCTAATTCCAAGACGTTTTTTCCACACATCTTTCCCGAAAAATATTTTGATATGTAATTGACGAGATCCTTGCTGCCATCCCACAGAGTAAAACCACCTTCAATTAAGCCAGGTTTGACATCCTCATGTGCGTGAATAGCATCGAATACATTGAGTTTACTTTTAGGCAGTTTGCGTAGATAATCATCGAGAACAGATTCATCAATGTACCACAGTTCTGCAATAAAATAATAATGGTAAATAAATGTTATCATTGTCTAGCATTACAGAGGTACTTAAATATATGCCCATAATCATGCTCAATTTGAAAACTATATAACTACTTTCAGAGAAGTCCCACTTACTGCCTTCTCGTGGCGGGGGCGCTGTTTACGAAATTGAGAGAACGAAAAGCGAATGGATTGGTGCGCACAGAGGACCCACATATAATTAATTTTGATCTCTTAGAATACCCATCCTCAGAAAAATACAATATCCCACTTATTAAGTATATTTTTGCTTCACCACAGTTAGTAGGATGCTCATGAAATATTAGAGTAGCATGTAAGGTTGGTATTTGAGTCGGTCTAATCTGTAGAAGTCACCCTCGTAAAAATCATCCCATTGGTTTGCTATTGATTATGTAAAGAATATCTCTAAAGAAGTGTACAGTTTTTACAATTATTATGAAAAATCAATTTCGTTTCTTTGTGTTTTCTGGGAAAAAATATATAAGCGATCAAGAGATATATCACTAGTTAATTACCTATGATACTCAGTCGGTCTAATATTTAGTTTTATCTTTGAAAATTCAGTTAACAATTATTTTAGTATGTTATCTTACTGTAGTATGAAAAATATCCACTCAACTTTGATATCTCTTTAGTATAAAGCTTTTTCTTAATTTATAGTCATTTAAATGCAATCACTGGTCGCTGAGAAAGAAATCTGTATATAAAAGTCTCGACTTCCCCATAAAGGAAGTATATTCGTAGCCACACTTAGTGTTCCTTCGGTCCTAATAGTTGGGCCTATAGTGTTGAGAAGTACGTTTATGATTTTATTAATTTCGCCTACCTATATTTTTTAAGATTCCATCGATATTTAGAATTGCGCAGCGAAAGCTCAGGTTATAGCACACCTGTTTAGTTTGTAATACGTCATCCATGTACTTGAAGTCAAATTCTTAAAGTCGCCTTAACGAGCATATTAACGATACAACTTGAGTATTACTTCTACTGCCTAGTATTTATGGATACTACTTGACTAGTCACAACATCAAAACACGACTTGGAGAACATAAATATATTTAAAATATATTTTCTAAACAAACAGTAAAGTTTATTTAATAAATTATACATACACCAAAGTGATTATAATTATAATCTCCCGCTATAATCACTACATCAAAGTACTTAGCTCTTTGAAGAAGACTATAATTGTTTCAGTATAACTTATCTTTGATTTTATTCCGGATCTACTCAGTGGAAATGTATGCAAAGCTCCAAAGAGACAAATATGGTTTATACCTCTTCTTTCGAACTCTCATCTGACTTAATTTAACAGTGTACGTAGAGTCCTCAATCTGAATCGAGCCCATGCACAACTATTCTGCTTTCGGTTTCAATAATATGCTTACAGTAGCAGACTCATGAGGAATAAATAACAAAGCCAAAGATATGTAAAGGAAGGGCTGAGCTCGTCATTTATACTGGCTTATGAATGACCATGATTTTGGTCAGTATGATCAGTCTAAGAAGTATATGTTCACGCACTCACATCACATTTTAAGGGGTAGCAAAACTACCCACGTGCTTAAACTGATCACCTATGCAAATTCCGGAGATAGCATACGTCAACCATGTTAGATTTGACACATGGTTCAAATACTGTGAGCTTCAATACATGGTTTGGAGCAAGATTTCTGGAGATCAAATAAGGGTCAATAATAAGGCGGGAACTATTAAGAGATGATTGAATTTAATTTTGAACAAGAGCTCAATAGAATTTAGGGGTATCTATGTTTGATACCTTTTAGTCATCAATACTATGAAAATACATTGCGTCCTAATAGGCTTTGGTGAAACTCGGTCTGGCATCGAATGTTCCGTTGATATCAGGACGTAACTGCACAGCGCAACTAAACTGCTACGAAGAACAAATCCGGTTACAGAGTCAAAATAGAAAATTTAGTCAGCATAGTTGACATCAAGATTTTTCTTACGTTAGTTCAAGACATGTCAAACACAATACAAACCATCTAATAGCACATTTGTTTGAACTTTTGCATAAATGAGGTTATTTTGCATTAAATTGTCAGTATATTTTTGCATTTCATACCATTTTTCGCCTGTAGTTAAATGAAATACAATCATGTAAACAGACACTAGGAAAGTGTGTGAAGCAAACCAAATATACTGTAAAAGATAAAATGTTGCTTACTGGCTTAAAGTTGGTTTTGAGAACTACCTTTATAAAAACGATTATGAATACATGGTGCACAGTAACACTTATAAGCAGATTTGTAGAGAATCATAATAATGTGCAAAAATTTATGTACACTTACTTGAACCATTTGAGATTGCATGAAAATCTGTGCGCAAACTTAAAACATCTCTGTAACCTGCAAGATATTGATAACGAAGATTCCACTTACCATCACTTAAAGTGAGTGATTGAACTAAGCTAGAGTACGTCACAGTGTCATGTCGCTTCAATTCTTTGTCATCACTGTTCGCATAGAACTTAAATTCAAACTAAAAGAGAACACGGAAATTCAGAACCAGATATATACATTGCACCACAAACAAATAACACAAATAAACCACACTTCTCCGCTTCATAACGAAAATGCATTCGGAAAAAACAGTGAACTTTGAGAAATTTAGTTTCTCTACAAATCACAGTCCCGCAACTTGCAGCTTGTCTTTAGTTAGATTATCACTACTACTAACTGCTATTTCATGCATGGCTCTACACTACCCTATATACTTGAGAGATCACACTAACTTGCTCACATAGTATCCAGTTCTTAAAAAATACCTCACGAGATGATGCTTTGATAGATATCCCAGTAGAAGACTAACTGTTTTAAACCATGAAAACATTGTTTAAGCACAGCTTTTTCACATGTTTAGCTAACTTTCCTATCTACATGTCGTTATGAATGAATATCGCAACAGATTCCTAACCAAACATGGACATATAGTAGCATTTAGAGTTAGCGGTTGCGACAAAACCGAACTACAGAAGCGATTCAGTGATTTGAGTGGAAATAGTGGCAATGAAATGGGGTTGATATGTAGGGTTTAGGAATAAGGGTTGAAGCTTGCGTGATGAAAGTCTTAACTCAAACCCACGAACCCTAACTTTTAACTCTAAATTCTAATATTTATTTACCAAAGTAGTTAATAACCCGTTTTTGATCCTAGTTAGTACGTAAATGGCCTCAAGATCACCTTAACACCACTCAGAAATATTCCACTAGCGACAGTCTTAAATCGACTGACTACAACATTCAAGATAAAATAAGTCCTTACTGTCGCGATAAGCTAATCCATATCGCTACCATATCCACATCATTACCATGAAGTTTAAATCGCTTAGTGTTGCACATATATTCAATTGTGAAAATACAAGGTCAGGCAGCCAATGTTAATGCTTGTCATTTTTAAAATATTTTATTGATCCGATCTCATTTTTTATTATCAACCATAGGTACTGATAAAACGTATTCTATTAGAGAATTCCAGTAATCCAGGATCCTCAGTGAGAAATGGAACGCAAGACGCTGTAGCTGTAAATAATTCCCCAAAATCAATAGCTCATTAAGTGTTCGACATTGGATGCTGACCACGTTGTTTAAGCGGACTTGTTTAGCTGAAGGCTTTCGGTCATGCATCCGTACCAGATCACGTTTCAACACGGCGTGGGACACAGCTCCTACGTTTCATTAGCCAGCTTATAGAAAAGGTCCTCGATATATTGGTAACGAATCAAATATATCTTTCCTGCCTCTTCTCGTCTGACTTCTGATTTCTATCTGACTGGGAACGATCGAATATAGAAGGTGCTACTGATAGCTAGTTGTAAAACTAGAACATCCGCTGCATCCTCATTGGTGAACCCGACGTGATCTGGTACACCAAGTCAATATACTGTGAGTCTGTTCCATTTTGGAATATTATTATTCATTGTTATTCTTTATTTGAATTTTATATATTGTGATATACTTTTTTTCGCAGATTTTTTTCCCGTATATATTTTAATTAGACATTTTTCGTTATCTATATTACTATGACGGAACACTCTCCTAAGGTTCTTAAGTTTAAGTCTATTCCCCCTATTTCGATTCAGTTAACGCCATTTTGGCCCGACAATATCGAGTCCTGGTTCTGCTATGCAGAAGCCGATTTTTGCATGCACGGAATCACGGACTCGCGCACACGTTCCCTCGCGGTGGTTAAGGCGTTACCGAGCGAGTTTAACAGGTACGTAACACCTAGTATGTTTACTAGTGATGTTCCCGAAGCTTACGAAACGCTTAAACTATCGATTTTAAAACGAGGAGACCTAACTGATCGACAACGGTTAGACCAACTCTTCCATAACATCGACTTGCAACATGGTTCTGCGACGGACATGTTGTTTAGAATGAGAGAAGTCATCGGCCAACGAACTTTCGATGATGGCCTATTTAGACAACTTTTCTTGTCTAAACTCCCTCAACAGGTGCAGGCAGTGCTTGTTTCATTTCAAAACAATGCCATAGATGAACTAGCTGCGTCTGCCGATCGAATCTTGGAAATCACTAGATCTTCTAAGGCCGAGGTCTTTTCCGTCAAAGAAAAACCTCAATCGACCTCGACTGACATGGCCGAAATATGTCACACGCTTACACGATATCTTAGAGTTCGCAATGACCGTAGTCGGTCAAAAACCCCGCGTAGAAGCGCCTCACGTAAGCGATCTGGCTCTCGACCACGAGAGACATACAATCCCGACTGGTGCTGGCATCATAACCAGAACGGTAAGTTTTCCAAAAATTGCAGGAAATCTTACAACTATCCGACTTCAAAATCGACTGATACGAATAAGATTTCGAGAAACTTCCCAGCCGGCACGCGTTAACGGCAACCGTAGCCGGCGAACACAGCCGCCTCTTATATGTCACGGATGTGACTACGAAAGTTCGCTACCTCGTCGACACTGGCGTAGAAGTTAGCGTTCTTCCAGCAAATCCCGACGACAGACTTCGCGAGTCTGTTTTACGTTTACAGGCGGCAAACGGAAAGCCGATCGCTACTTACGGTAAAAGGTACGTCTACCTTAACGTGGGTTTACGCAAACCCATACACTGGGTTTTCGTGGTTGCAGATGTCTCTATGCCAATCATTGGTATAGACCTGTTACAACACCACAATCTACTCATCGACACACGCTCACGAAGGTTGATAGACGGAAACACGAAGTTATCCGTTTGCGTAACTCCTTGCTCTGGTTGCAGGTTATCCCCAGTCACGATTAAGCACACCATAGACCCCTTGTACCAATCAGTACTCGACAAATACCCCGGGATACACCAATCACAATCGAAATTGCCTTGTGTAACCAGCAATGTTACACATCACATCACGACTACAAGACCACCTGTATTTTCGAAAGCTCGAAGACTCGCTCCCGAGAAGCTTAAGTTAGCTAAAAACGAATTCGACCACATGATGGACCTAGGGATAATTCGACCATCAAATAGTCCATGGGCATCCCCATTGCACATGGTCCCTAAAAAGGACAGCAATGATTGGCGGCCAACTGGTGATTATCGGCGTCTGAATGCTAAAACCCTTCCCGATCGTTACCCGCTGCCTCATATTCACGATTTGACAGCTACCTTGAAAGGTACAACTGTCTTTTCGAAAATCGACTTGGTTAAAGCTTATAACCAAATACCGATGGCACCTGACGACATTCCTAAAACCGCCATCATCACTCCCTTCGGTCTTTACGAATTTCCACGAATGCCTTTTGGTTTAAGAAACGCGGCTCAAACCTTCCAAAGGTTTATAGACGACGTCTTCCGAGGTCTCAACTTCGTACATGCGTATGTTGATGACTGTCTAATAGCAAGTCCTGACAGAGAATCGCATCTCAAGCATCTGAACATTGTTTTCGATCGACTCCAAAGGCATGGCATTACTGTCAACATTCAGAAATGCCAAATCGGAACTAACTCCTTAGACTTCCTAGGACACACCATTGATGCCCAAGGCATCCGACCCCTTAGGAGCAAAGTGGCGGCCATTCTGGATTACCCAGAACCGACCACGATCAAGCACTTACGAACTTTCAACGGACTTGTAAGTTTCTATAGACGGTTCATACCCAAATGCGCATCCCTTATGAAACCGTTAACCGATCAGCTTCGTGGAAATACGAAATCAATTAGTTTAGACGACATAGCCCGTAAAGCATTTTCCACAGTTAAGGAACACATCGCTAAAGCAACCTTGCTTGCTCATCAGGAAACTCAAGCGCCCATTAGTATCGCCGTAGACGCATCCGACTCAGCAATCGGAGGAGTCTTACAACAATGGGTTAACAACTTGCGGCAACCTTTAGGATTTTTCTCGAGACGGTTGCTAGACGCTGAATCTAGGTACAGCACGTTCGGTAGGGAACTCCTGGCTATGTATTGTGCTGTACGGCATTTCCAACATTCCATCGAAGGAAGAGAATTCACGCTTTTTACCGATAACAAACCTCTTACCTTCTCCTTAAGTTCATCTTCAGACAAGTACTCACCGCGAGAGTCTCGACAACTCGACTACATTTCGCAGTTTACTTCAGACATGCAACATATTTGTGGAGCTAACAATGTAGTCGCAGACGCCTTCTCTCGAATAAGTTCCTTGAACAGTTTCCAAGGAATCGACCTTCTTAAACTCGCTCAGCTTCAAAAAGAAGACATTGATCTTCAGCATGAGTTATCCTCGACAACTCTAAAACCAAGTATTAAGCAGATGGGAACAGGCAAGGAAACCTTACTCTGTGACACATCTACAGGTAGGGATCGTCCAATGGTACCAAAACATTATCGCCGCAACGTCTTCAATACGTTGCACAATCTTTCTCATCCAGGTGCTCCTGCAACTGTCAAACTTAGCCGAACGCTTTTGTTGGCCTGGCATGAATAAAGACGTGAGGGAGTGGGCACGCTCCCGTGTAAGCTGTCAGAAATCTAAGGTAATCAGACACAACAAATGTCCCTTAGGTTCTTTCAAAATCCCTGACGCTCGTTTCGACCACGTCCATCTAGATTTGGTAGGGCCATTACCCGACTCGAATGGATACTCATATCTCTTAACATGCGTAGACCGTTTTACTCGATGGCCAGAAGCAGTACCGATTAAGGACATTACTGCTGAAACAGTGGCTCGCGCTTTCGTCGAACGATGGGTAGCAAATTTTGGTTGCCCCTCAACCATCACTACAGACCGCGGACGCCAGTTCGAATCTGAACTTTTCCATTGTCTGACCACACTATTAGGAATCACGCGCTTTCGAACGACCGCCTACCACCCACAAGCAAACGGGTTGGTAGAACGTTTTCATTGTCAACTAAAAGCTTCATTATCAGCTTCAAACATTTCACAGTGGACAGACGCTCTTCCACTCGTCTTGCTAGGTATCCGCAATGCAGTGAAAGCTGACATTGGATACACGGCATCTCAACTCGTTTACGGAACGACACTCCGACTCCCAGGAGAATTCGTGGATCCTTCAGCTTCTTCATTGAACATGGATCTAAACTCTTACACGAGTAGGCTTACAAACGCTATGCGTTCAGTTAAACCTGCTCACACTCTACCTCAATCAACTGATGTTTTCGTTCAACCCGAATTACGACATAGTACACACGTTTTCGTTCGTCGAGACTCACATCGACGACCCCTCGAATCAGCATACGAAGGACCCTTCAAAGTTCTTCAACGCGAATCTAAGTACTATGTAGTGGATAAGAACGGTGCGAACGATAGCATCAGTATCGATCGACTCAAAGCAGCGTACTTAGAAGGAAACCCTAGCTACGTCGATTTTCCTTCGGTACAAGCAAACGACACAGCCACTACACTCGTAGTACCATACACGACAACCGGCACACAACTTGATATTTCGTCAACGTCGATAGATAAACCTAAAACAACGCGTTCTGGAAGACGAGTAAGATTTCCAGAACATCTTAACGAATATTGCACGTAGGACATAAGCTTTATCTTGAATTACCCTTCCATAGTTCATTATAAAAAAAATTTTTTTTTAATATGATAATTTTTTATTTATATAAAAACACCAAAAAAACAAAACATTTTTGTCTTTTTTTTTGAGCGTATATATATATGCTTTTTATATATATAAAAAAAAACAAAAAAAAACACTATTTTCCTGATCGCTTTTACACTGTTTGTAAGTGTATTAGTTTATTTCTTTTTCCGCTCATCTTGTGTCCCTACGCAAGTACGAGTGTATTTTCGACATGCACTCACACGTTTTATTTTTCCTCTTTTCCAGGACGGCTGGAAAAGAACGACGAAGTTTCGCAAGGAACCGAAATTTTCATTGTACTATATTTCTTTAT